CATACTTATTCCTTATACCCTAAGGATGATCCCTATTGTTTTTGGTGCATGCCCGATCCCCAGGGGCAGAGCCACGCCCATTTCTTGTATTTGTTTGTTTGTCGTCTACAGGCCACATTTCTTAACATATCATCTCGAAACTTTGCATACTTATTCTTTGTACCCTAAGGAACACCCCTATCGTTTGGGGTGCATGCCCAACCTCCAGAAGAAGATCCACACCCATTCTCCTTTTGTGTGTCTGTGTGTCGCAATTCTTAATCGATTGTCTTGAAAAACTTTCATATGAATTCCTTATACCCTAAGGATGATCCCTATTGATTTTGGTGCATCCCCGACACCCAGTGGCAGAGCCACGCCCATTTCTTGTATTTATATGTTTGTCATCTATAGACCGCATTTCTTAACGTATCACCTTGAAACTTTGCATACTTATTCCTTCTATCCTAAAGAACATCCTTATTGTTTGTGGTGAATGCCCAACCCCCAGGGACAGCCACGCCCATATTCTTTTCGTGTGTCTGTCACTTACAGCCTGCAATGCTTAATCGATCGCCTTGAAAACTTTATTTATACTTATTCCTTATACCCTAAGGCTGACCTCTATTATTTTTGGTGCATGCCCGACCCCCTGGTACAGAGCCACGCCCAATGTTTGTGTGCCTTTTGTGTCGCCTACAGGCCACAATTCTCAACAGATCCTTTTGAAACTTTCCATACCTATTCCTTCTACCCGAAGGATGCCCCCTGTTGTTTTGGGGTGATTGCCCAACCCCAATTGGCAGAGCCACACCCATTTTTCCTTTGTGTCTCTGTGAGTTGCCTACAGGCCACAATTCTTAATGGATTGTGTTTGAACTTGGGATATGTATTCCTTATATAGCCTAAGGATGACAACTGCATGTCCCGACCCCCAGGGGCAGAGCCACGCCCAATTTTTGTGTTTATCGTTTACAGGACGGAATTCTGAATGGATCAACTTGGTACTTGGCATATGTATTCCTTATAGCCTAAGGGCGTCAACTATTGATTTTGGTGAATGCCCGACACCCAGGGGCAGAGCCACGCCCAATTTTTGCCTTTAGTGCCCAAAGGTCATAATTCTGAATTGATTATCTTGGAACTTGGTATACTTATTCCTTATACCCTAAGGGCGTCAACTATTGATTTTGGTGAATGCCCGACACCCAGGGGCAGAGCCACGCCCAATTTTTCCCTTTAGTGCCCAAAGGTCATAATTCTGAATGGATTATCTTGGAACTTGGTATACTTATTCCTTATACCCTAAGGACGGCAACTATTGATGTTGTCATTTCAATAACAGGATGGTATCTATTTAAGTTGTTTCCATATCCAACCCCCAAGGGCAGAGCCACACCCACTTTTTTGTTAGTACTTTGTCTGTAAATTTGGCAAAACGCCTAGCGTTCTTTTCCTCTGATCATATTACAGCCATTTCATATTTCATTCTCTTCATTTCAAAAAGTACTATATCAATCAAAGCTGAAATGTGGACGTATATTGCAGCGTTAGCGATGCTCTTGTTATTAATTGGTGTGGGGGGGATTGGGGAATCCATGAATATATTATCGTCCCCCAGATTACTGCCCTGCTTACTAAGGGGAGGACTAGCGCGGATATACCCGGCTCGACGAGGGGTATACTCAAGCCAGAAAGTAAAAATACTTATCTAACCTGATTGACCCAAACCACTGCTCTGTAGAATGTACTCAGGATACAAAGGTAATTCTGCTGAGTATAGAAAACAACAAAGCATTGAAATTGAGAAATGTACATTCTACAGAGCTAAAACGACCAAAGCCGATTTGATCAGAATGGGCCACTCTGACCTCCCGTCTAGGTGAACCATGGGCCAAAGTAATGTGTTGCAGAAAAGGGGCCCGCATGCCAAATCCCCACTCAATTACAAGGATTCCACTCTCCACCGACATGGGTCGCAACGCACGGCAAACACGTTGCCCCATTATAGGGATCCTTTTAGTCGCCTTTTACGACACGCCGGACATACGAAGGGTATATTCTTATCACCCCCTACACCCCAGGGGGGTCGACAATGGAGAAACCACGAAGTAAACACATGGATTAAAATTATAATCACTCTTATTGGATTGATGAATAGTCCGACAAAGGGGAAGCAATGACTTCTGTTTAAGATTAGATTGATGAATTGTCCGTCAAAGGATTAAGTCAGTCAGTCATTGCAGATTAACTAGTTAATCAAGGTAGGTGTATAGACAGTATAACACGATAAATACGTTGATCACTTAATTACCTAATCAATCCAGCCTATTATCAACGATAATCAGGTTGAGTGGTAGTTATACACTCAGTACACTATATTAATTTTGGAATTTTGAATATTATTCACCATGTCTTAATGTCCGATTGGGCATATACCCAATCAGATAATTTTGGGCATTTGGAAAATAACGTTGGACAAGTCCGGAATATATGGGCGAAATCCCATCCCTGCTATAAAGTTAGGGCATATGTTCTATTTACCACAAAAACAGAGGAAAAAACGAACAAATACTGAATACAAAGAAGCAAACAGAGAAAGTGCAAACCGTCTGACTGAATGACTGGACGTAAAAGGCGGTAGGTTGCCAAATGACGTCAATAGTTAAAATGTAATAAAAAGTACAATAAAAAGGGTGATAATCCAGATAAGATAACGCCAAAAGGTTAATAAACTTTCAATTTAGGAACTAATCGGAATTATTCAGCTATGTGATTGCACAAAATATAATACATAATACACCTATAAGAAATGCAAACCAGACATGTTGAAGAAATCGTACTATGAAACTTTATTTATATAAAGGCATAAAGTAAGGGCGATAATCCTGTTCCAAAGTCTCGGCTAATCACATTGATTGTCATTCTGCTTAGCCTTCGTGGAAAATGCCCATCACGGTATTGGTGTAATGAAACTATACACAAAGTTTCACCACCCTCACACAATCAGAATCAAAGTTGTCGAGCTCCAAAGTTTCGACCAATCAAATTGCTTGTCATTCTGCTTAACCTGAGAGGAAATACACATTATCAGTATTAGTGAAGGTATTGATGTAATGAAATGAAATGAAATGAAATGGAGTTTAACGTCCTACTGTTCTGCTCCTATACTGGGCTAATGAAGACGGGCATACGCCATACAGTGTGCTATGAGGGAAATTTTGCCCGGGCAGCAAAACTATCGCCTACTCTTATATGGAATTCCAACTGCCAAGGAATCTTTTACGTGCATTCCAATGTTTACACGGGACCTGTTTTTCGTCTCATCCGAAGGACTAGACAGCTGTCCTTGTCAGGCCCTCTGTTCTGCATCACTGACAAGGGGAAACACCGTCGGAAAATCGAGATGAACTTTCTCGGCCAATGCAGGGATCGAACACCTGACCTCCAGGCTAGCGAGTCAGCGCCTTACCCACCGTGGCTCCCTGATGTAATGAAACACTGAGAACTACTAAGGGGTTAATCTGTGCACGGAACATATAGAAATCTATATCTGGGTTGTTATTTGTACATCTATCGAAAGAAAATTAATTTCCTGACTATTACTTGGCATTACCGCGTTAATTAACAAGAGTGAAAAACTTTGCAACGGTGCGTTTTCTGTAGAGGTGTGTTAATTAACCGACCAGTAAAAAATGAATGTCAAAGGTGTGTATTGTTTAATTGGCATGTTTTCTCGCTAGTTGCAGTAAATGTACCAAAAGGAGTATAATCAAGGACCAGGCTTTATATGTGACATGCGTGTAAAATCAAAATCCAGAAAGTAAAACTGTTTTACCGTGCAATTTATCATCCGAACGTGTGTTTTACGCAGGTCTTTAACATGTCTTTATATGGATATGTGCTCGCTATATGATCGACGTTTCTCTCATGTGTTTTTTGTATTTGTATAAGATCAATACACGTTTTATACTGCCACGCTACTTTTATATAAATTTGCATTGTACGGAAAGGTGAATACAATGTCGTCTTATATAAATTGGAATATCCCCGGGTATATAGCGAGCAAGCTTAATTTTCCATATGTGTATATTTACTTATTCATTTGTTCCTTTGCCATTGTATAATTAAAGACAGTTCTTTAGATAGGCGTGTGTGCTCGCTATGATCTATGTTTCTCTTATGCGTCTTTTGTATTGCGTACCATATATATAAAGTTGCATTTAATGAAATAAAAATATGGACCTTAATCTATCGTACGGAAGGTGAATGTAATGTCGTCATTTAAAATACCCTGCAGTCAGCGCATAATTTGAATATCCATGGGAATATAGAGAGTAAACTAATTTTTCTACAACCAAAATATATTACTGTTTCACATTTATCAAAATTATAAAAATGCCCCACGATGCGTAAATTGAACACCTTACCTTGAATAGCAATACCCATGAAATAGAAATTTCCATATTGGACAATAATATGATATAACCAACTGAAGGGTGGTAATTCACACAAATGATATGTTTAAACTAAAATTACTTTAGCCTTTCACTAAATTTAAATCGCTGACAATTGAATGATTCTCATTGCAAAACATTTAACTTATAAGTTATAATGTAGCAGTTTTCATAAAATAACAGATCAAAGAAACACATACGCCCGAATTCACACATAATTTATGCCAATAAAACAGAAAACAAGAATAGTAATAAATTTAACCAATTTATTTGCACAAAGGGGGATGCACTCCACCAAATTAAGTCACAGAGAAATACACCTAGAGTTGCACCCCCAACAAGTTCGTGGCACAGCACGAAAAAAGTAAATTGAGTTTAGATATTTACATGTCTCTCAAGATAAAAATCCAACAAATTAACATAGTAACAATAACTAATGAATGTGACTTAATTAAAATAACAATAGAATGATAATGGAATAGGGCCGATAAGTAAATCTCGCAAAAACGCGAGATTTTGCGTTAAATTCAACTTCCGGTGACATGTGCTGTTGTAGACGTAAACATGGCGCTTTCTATTCAGTATTGGGCGAACTATACCCGGAACAAACCGAAGCTTGTGAGAAAGTCAGAGAATTCTGTCCAGAGTGACCATGTGCTTCGGTTTGTTTTGGATACAGAGAATCACCATATTTCGTCAAATATCCAAGCATCAATGCGAGACCGATCCTATAGAGTAGAAGTAAGTGCAGTACTAGGCCTACTGTGTGACTGTGAACCATGGACATGGTAAATTATAAACGGATTTCTTCGATTGTGAACAAACTACTGAATAAAAATTACTATGGTTGAATAAAAATCCATTGCACAATTAAATATCCAAACCAAAACAAAAGTTCTCTCTTGAAAAGTCAATGTTTTTGCTTGTATTTTCGACAGTGTCCATCACAGATATTTTATTTATATCTATTAGTTTTTAGTCGATCACCACTACAAATTTAAAATCAAGTTTGAAATTCCTTTTTTTCTTTGAAAAGAAATTAAAATTTTATGGTGATGTAATTATTAAATCTTTTTGCAGGTTGACCTTGATGAAGCTTATGGGGTTTCCCATTTATCTTGTGATTGTCCTCTTGGCAATTACACATGCCACCATGTAGCAGCCACCCTTCTCTTTGGGTTAGTTTTATTTATGCTCACTAATTAATAAATTACTCTAATTTGTGTTATTGTTAAGAATAATTAATTTACATGGAGGGGAGCAGTATTGACTGCTTTTTTGAGAACAGTGCATGAGTCAGATTATTGTTGTAAAAGTTATCAAGCATGGCATGTACAATAATCTGACCAAAACAGTAATAATAACCAATTAAACCACATATTTTCTACATGGTCTTTGAAATTCTACTTTAAGTAAATTAAAAGAGGTAGTCCAAGATTTTGTTATTACTTGTTATGGTCGTAAATATATTTAATTTTAATGGAGTTTTGTTTCAAACTATCATTTGTGGCTTTGATTTAATTTTCAATTTAATTTCATGGCATGGAGTATAATTGTATTTACTGGGCATTGCAAGGTTACTATGTAACTGACAAGTTTACAAATAAGATGAAGCTTGCTTTTATATAGTTATTTTGGACGCTCACAAATCATCACAAGAAAATGACTAGACAGAGAAGAATCGAAATGTGATCCAGATTATTGAGTAAAACTTGACATTATTACACATCGGGGTAGCCTTTGGAATATTGAAGTAAAACATAATTTTCTGTTAAAAATTAACTTGCAATAACATAGAAATTATAAATGGTAAACTCTGTTTCACCTAATAGCTTTAATCAATGTTAAATAATATCGTGGTCGATTCCTTGTATTACTGGACTGTAACTGAATATGTCAGCATGTATTTCTACTATTGTTCACAAGTTGGAATGGATGAATGAAATGGATTATATTGTGTCGGGCAGACTAAAATGAATTAAAAGAGATATAATATATATATTTCAAAATTTCACAAGCTGATAAATTCCTTCAGATTATTCTATCCTGCGAAAAGTTACAATTTAAAATATATATTGTCAGATTTGAAACAAGGTTCTTATACCATAATTGATATTTCAGATACAAGCGTGCCAGTAAGACAGATGTCAAGTGTAGATGGATCAAAAATCCAAAGTCATTACCAAAATCTGTACAAGACATGGAGACATTATTTCCTGTACGGAAACCAAATTATAGGTATATAGCAATAAAGCTTTTTCCTTACCATAATTAATGGCTATATTTAAAGATACATTACTTAAGGGCCAAATTTGCCTATCGCAGCTTTTCTTTAGGCCTTAAATGTTATCTAAATTCTTAATTAGACATTAGTTAACTTATCCAGACCATAATCAACTCACGATGGTATCAGATGCTTGAGGTTTTAATCACATGAGAACGGTTTGGTCATTTAATTTAAAAATCTAAGCCTTGAATATACCAGTACCATGATTACAATAATAAAAAAATCAATGCACACACCTTGGCAATACAACAGTGATAACTTGGGTCAGAATAGATAAATTTGACTGAAATTCTGAATATGCATGTATTCATTTTGCATTATCTATTTTTGAACTTTTATAGCAAGAACGAATGGCTCTATATCTAAATCTTACATAATGTATCTTTAATGTTTTACATTACAAACTTTATTTAACCCAGTGCCTTAAATAGAGAGGTTAATGACAGTGACCAAGAATTCATGTTTGCTGAATTGAATAAACGTGGAAGCTTTTCTGGTGATTTCATTCTTATTCTTGTTTCTCTTGTATTTTTTATGTTGTCATCCCAGCCTTTTTCCTGACTGATATAATTGTTAATAAATTATTGTACTTAAACTCACTTTACAGGGAGTAATTCTGTCAAGCTATGTTTAAAAAATTGTTATATTTGTAAGACTTTGTTGCATTTGAATTTTAAAGATTTCTAATAACCTAAAAACATCTAAATTAATGAGCAATTTGTTGAAATTTTACTCTCAACTCATTTTTATTGCACTTACATATTTATAATATTTGTAACAATAAAATTTGCAGCTCAACAATGGTTATTGTCTCCAGAGCCAGCAAATAATGATCAATTTATACCATCAATTGAGGACATAATCCTGAGTAAAACATTTACTGAATTAAAGTCAGCAGAAAATCAGAGAAAAAATCTGTTATGGTCTGCTGCAAGGAAGCACAGAATAACTGCTTCAAATTTTGGTGCAGTATTAGGTGCAATAAAAAGAAATAGGTAAATAAGTGTTTTTATACGCCCACATTTTTATTTGGACGTATATTGTTGCCGCCCCAGTCCATCCATTCACATTTTGTTTGTGGACACTCTACAGGTCAGAATTTTTATCCGACTTTTAAACGAATCTTGAAATATAGGTGTATCTCCCAAAGATCTCAGTTCCTTTCGAAATTGGCATGTATTGGACAGTAACTTCCTGGATTATGGCCCCTGATTGATCGAAAAATCATGTTTTCATCCCTGATTTTTAAGTAATTTATTTTAGTTTCACAGCTTCCCTTCAAAAGAGGTTGCTATCTGCCTATAATTTGGAAGCAGTCAGAAGTATTTCATGGGGAATTACATATGAAATGGAAGCTATAAAGGCTTACAATAAAAAATTTGGAACTGCCATTGAAGAAACAGGTACCGTAATTTTATACTTTGTGAAACAATAATTACTCATGTACATGTATTTCAATTGACATAAATCACAGATCTATGTATCCACCCAAAAAATTCCCACAGTGCCATTTGCTTGGAATTTGTATTTAAACATACATTACGCAAGAGCTAAATCTGCCTATTGCAGGTCTTTTTTTAGGCCTGAAATGTTATCTAAATTATTAATTAGACAATTAATTAACTTATCCAGACCATAATCAACTCTCGGTGTCATCGCTAGCCTGCGATATTTACTGGATTAGGATCTGAATTGCTGCTCAACTTTCATTCATCATTTAATCATGAAATGGATAATCGAGACTATGTTTTTTATCATACCAATTTTAGTAATGATGGAAGTTAAGCTCTATTTCATTTCATATAAGGTATTTGGCTGCATGAGTCTGGTGTTCTTGGCGCATCACGAGATGGAATTATTAAGCAACAGAAGGGTACCGGTAGTAATTTAGCGGACTTAATAGAAGTAAAATGTCCCTACAGAGCAAGGGAAATGAATATATGTGAAGCTGCTTCAACATTTAAAGACTTTAGTCTTGGTAAGCTAGGATTAATTATCTTTGTATTTAAAGCATTTAGGGGGGAAGCTACCTGAACAGACTGAAATAAAGTCCACAACATCAAATCTAAAAGAAATATGTTGTTATAGTTTTATAAAAATATGTAAAAAGTTTCTTCTAATGTTTATTATTTTGAGTCAATATTTTTTAGTTTTCGAGGAAGATAACAGTTTGACTCTCCGCAAAGACCATGATTATTACCGTCAAATACAAGGCCAGCTTCATATTACAAATAAAACATCATGTGATTTAGTCATCTGGACATGCCAGGATGTTGAGTGTATAAGGATAACAAGAGATGTCAATTGGTGTTCCAACCGTAATAAGTTGATTGAATTTTATTTTGCAAGATTTATTCCCGCATTACTAAATACTTAAAGTTACATTATGGAAAATTACATAACGATCTGACAGTTCTCACTATAATAGATAATGTAACTGGAATATTGTCATTGTGATGAAAAAAAGTCCTGATTATCCATTTTTGCGTTTAATTATCAATGGCTGTTGATTAGTGTTGAAAATCGGATCGAGATTTGTGATCCGAATACTTTTGTTTGCTATCCGAATACTATTCGTCGGATAATTCGGAAACGTGAAATTCTTGAACAAAATCACATCAAAAGTTCATATACTCATATAACTCATAATGTTTATTATTTTGAGTCAATATTTTTTAGTTCTCGAGGAAGATAACAGTTTGGCTCTCCACAAAGACCATGATTATTACCATCAAATACAAGGCCAGCTTCATATTACAAATAAAACATCATGTGATTTAGTCATCTGGACATGCCAGGATGTTGAGTGTATAAGGATAACAAGAGATATCAATTGGTGTTCCAACCTTAATAAGTTGATTGAATTTTATTTTGCAAGATTTATTCCCGCATTACTAAATACTTAAAGTTACATTATGGAAAATTACATAACGATCTGACAGTTCTCACTATAATAGTTAAATAATAGATAATGTAACTGGAATATTGTCATTGTGATGAAAAAAAGTCCTGATTATCCATTTTTGCGTTTAATTATCAATGGCTGTTGATTAGTGTTGAAAATCGGATCGAGATTTGTGATCCGAATACTTTTGTTTGCTATCCGAATACTATTCGTCGGATAATTCGGAAACGTGAAATTCTTGAACAAAATCACATCAAAAGTTCATATACTCATAATTCTTACTTATTCAATGTTTATGAGTGTCTGTGTATGCCGAGTATGAAATCTTACTTTTGATTTGCAAATTGTTTGAGCCGCGAAGAAAAAAACGTGCCTACCTTTAGCCGCAATTATTAAGACTATCCATGATATCCAAAAAAATCAACGAGGTGAATAAATTTGTGTATAACTACTCCTGTAATCCGCGTCCCTCCCACTTATCATTTTTGCTCAATGAACACGAATGAAAAAAGTAAAATAAAAACATCTAACATTTATTCCACCAAGGTCGTTTGCCTCATTCTGATAATCTACTGCTATTGAACCAATCAGTAAGTGAGAATATACGTGACCTAGGTCGTTATGAATAAATTACATTGCGGGAAGTCTAAACACAGTGTTAACTTGTATCCCGTAAACCCAAGAAGTAGCTTCTATCTAGCGTAAACCAGCTATTTTTTTATATTTTTTTATTTAGACTACTGTTTTCGTTGCACTGCATTAATATTTTTATTAGTTACTATTGCTAAATAATATGCGTGATATTAACATTTATGCTCAAAGCTGCGTACGTGATCAATAGCATTGGGGAAAATTTCAAAGTAATCAGATGTAAAAATGGCTAAATATAGAGCATAGGGAATGTCAGAATATATTGTAACGAATAGTAAACGGATAGTAAAATGATTCGGATAACCCTTATTTTGTATCTGTTAACGGATATCCGAATAGTAGTTTCAACACTACTGTTGATATTTAAATATTGAAGCCAGTGTTTATATACACTTTATAAATATTCAACTGTCGGTTATCTACATTGTATCAGTTACTGCTTTAACTTAAAAGAGCTAAACCTCTAATTTAATATTTTCCATAATATTTGAAATTAAAAGAATTAGAATTGAATTTTGGTTCATTTCAATCACAGAAGCTAAATCAACCGATAAGTCGACTAGAGTTGTCATTGTCACATACTTCTGGTTTTGTAGGAAATAAGAGCACTTACAAGACACTGATATCAATTTTTGTCGATAGAGCGTTCACATGGTTAACAAAATAACTTAGAAGCTATTACAAAACAGAAATTGTTGAAATGCAATAGCCTTTTTCATTTTACTAATTTAAATAATACATGTTAATTTAATACAGTTTGGATGATAACTTCAGTCGTAAGAACCTTCACAAGGTTCAACAAAGTGAAACAAGACCAGAACACAAGGAGTAATTGATGAAAATTGGTGAAATTAAATAGGATTCTTCATCTCAGTAATGTAAACAATATATATATTTATGTAATGGACCAAGCAGGTATAAATGACTGTCATTCAATGCGGACTCTTGAAGTATTTCACCCAACATAATTGATTAGAAATTATAATAAATATTTTAGAATTTAAATATAGATCTCTAAACCTATTATTGCCAATGCTAATATGCTTACTTCAATGCATGTAACTATTTCAATACAAGAAATTGTAGAAAAAGGGCAAGTCATAAGTCATCATTATGATGGTAAAACAGCAATCACATGGTAGCAAATTAAAAGTACATGTAATAATGAATTATAGAAGATAGAAATTCTAGCTACTGTATAACTTAGCATTTTTAAGTTAGCCACATTACTATATATATATATATGTAATAGTAAGTGCAGGGGGACTGCACCACACAAAATTTACACAAAAACAAATACACGGACAAGACATCATACTATGAAGTGACATGCATAGAAGTAAGCAGATTAGCACAAGCATTACTAGGTTAAGAGTTTGAATTATGCTGTAAATTCCACACCATACATAATATCCTAGGAGTGATGATTCTCTGCGATCACAGGGGAATAAAAGTTAAAATCGCAGAATCTGTCAATTGAAACGATATTTACAATCTGAAACAGGATATCCAAAAATCTATAAATTAAATGTGATCGTAAAATGCACTTATTGCTTTATAATATAGATTTTATGACATACAACTTGAAAAATGAAAAAATCCGAATTCACAATGTTTAAAACAGAAAATCATCACCCCTATCCCCATGGTTTTATGAAACTTCTTTTATTAAGGGGGCCTGGAAGTTAATCAAACAACAGCAAACTTGAAAAATCTTTGTGGAAATGGGTCTATATTGGGCGGGGATGTGGTTTAAAATATCATAATTCTTAATTCTTTCATTGGCACGCTCAACATGGATTCTGGATCTTGCTATTTTATTACACATTGTTGCTTCTTGTGGGGTAAACTTTGCTTTGGAGGATAAAAATAGGGGAATGTTGAGATTAACACCTTGTGGCAGAATATCGTGTATGGTGAAGCCTTTATCCGCTAAAATTAGATCCCCAGAAACAAATTTGTCTAAAAGATGAGAATGTTTAACTATACCAACATCAGATGTAGACCCAGGGTACAGCTTAGAGCAAAAAATCAAATTTCCATTTGGGGCTACCGCTGTAACCGATTTTACAGTGTGTCTGGACTTATAAGAACTATAGCTGCAACTCTGGGAATCCATCTGAGTTGGTATATCTTGGGTTATTTCAGTAGCATCTATACTGGCCCTGGCGCTGCCAAATTCCTCAAATGATTTAGGTAACGAACCTTTGCACTTTGCTTGGGAGGGCATATATTTATCAAGGATTCCACAATATAAAAATTCATGTAATGCATATATAAATGTATTAAAAATATTAGAAACAGTAGCAGAGCTGACAGAAAATCGTTCTGCCAGGTCTAGGTCTTTCAAATTTAATGTCAGCTTAATCAAGCATAATAACAGCTGATCTTCAAATTTTATGTTGCTGGGCCTCCATCCAGCATAATAGTTAATATCGAAACATTGCAAACAATTCAGAAGTATAAAAAACATATCATAAGATAACGTTGTGTAGAGAAGCATCTGTAAATAAAAGAAGGAAAATTTTGTGTGGTTGGGCATTTTAGCCATTTTTTTAAACAAAAGATATTCTGTGGTTAGAACAGTGTCTTTGTCATATTATTATCTAAATGTTTCTTCTAGTCCCAAAATGGAATCAAGTATTATATCTGGACAAATGGTAGTGTGCCACATTTTTTTTTCTCTGATTAATAAGACAAACACAAGACAATAACTGTAATAATATATATTATCTAAAAGAAATACATACAGTAGTACATACAATTAATATTATACATGTAATTAAAACAGTAAGTCACTGTTTCCAGTCTGATTTCCTCTTGTCAGTGGTCAGATGACCTGACAAAGAACCATGTGCTTGTCATTCGGACGGTATGAAATACCAAGGTCACATGTATGCATTGGCATGTAAGTGAAAGAATCCTTGACAATTGGAATTCATTGAAAACTCTGCAGTTCAGGCAAAATTCTCCCTGGCAATGTAGCTTATTGCATGGCTTATACATATAAGTCCCAAAAAAAATTACCTGTGTTTACGTTTACCTGACCTACCCTATTTTCTTATACGCGCACATTTCAGTATGTTGTCACCCTGTCCGCCCGCCAACAATTGGCTTGTGAACGCAATAGAGGCTACAGTTTTTAATGGATTGTTTTCATTGTGGTCATGAGAGGCCGAACCCTATTACAGCTGTCCAAACCAGCATTTTTGTTACTCCGTTATTAAGCTAGAAAATAAATAAAGGCTATCGACTGCAAGTAACAATGTAGTTTATTAAAAGATTACTTTATGAGTTCACTCAGTTCTATCCAATCCTAACCCCAGTAAAAATTTTTGTATAAATTCCTTCAGATCAACCCACAGGTACTTTTTTTTATTGGGCCTAATATGATTTAGAGTTACCTTCCTGTCATTATCCTGTATATCACAGATGCTAAAGCTTTTAGTCTGTTTTAACTTGATACTTAAGTGTCGTATCTCATCTGTTAATTTTTGAATATTATTTTCCATGCTGCTAATGCGATTCTCACAATGACATTTCACAGTATAATTATGTTCAGCCATCACCTGTAAATATATTGAAATGTAGGAATATTATTATTTATTATGGAGACATTATTACAACATTATGTGACGAATGTTATAAAACAAGCCAACAGTGAGGCTGATGTCCCCCGCCGAAATCCCAAAATAAATAGATGACAGATATTAATTAATTGATACAGGCTCCAATGGCATCTAAAGATACAGATGGATCCTTGCACGTAAAATACAATTGGCTATCATCAGCATAGATCATAGCATCCAAACCATGTTTAGTAATAATTTCTTCGATTGCAGTGGTATACATATAATAGTGAATAATGGCGGGCTTAAAACTGTGACCTGAGGTACACCGCGCTTTAATGGCATCCAGGGCTGCCGACAACCAGTATCGCAGCGCAATTTGCGATACATATTTTGTCCGTTGCTAATCAAAAATTAAAATCTAAAGTTTTTGATTCGCAGTAACTGCGAATCATTAATATGCCTGTCATTTTGGATATTGACACAAGGATAATCCACATTTGAAGACTAGAAAGCTTTCTCAACAATTTCAACGAGTATAAAATGTTGAATAAAATTTTATAAACAAAACTGAATTCTCCGTGTGACATTTTCTTCTCGAACTACCCAGACACAATTCGTTATACGGTACTATATAATACAGGGACATAACTCTATGAATAGGGACTATTAAACCGGAAACAGGGAATCAAGTAGTACCACTCACGTTGCGAGACATCAAGTAATTATATGATATTTTGAAAGAAATAAATCTAGTGTATCCTCTACGTATTGTAAATAAAATATAATAAACACATACACCAAGTTTGAACATTCTAGCTCAATTAAAAGTTATCGTGTCCCAAAGCATCAACCAATCAAATTGCTTATCTCTGCTTACCCTAAGCGGAAAATGCTCATCTTCGAACTCCATCAAGGCATTGACCTAATCAACACATACACCAAGTTTGAACATTCTAGCCCAATTAGGAAGAGAGTTATCGTGTCCCAAAGCATCAACCAATCAAATTGCTTATCTCTGCTTACCCTAAGCGGAAAATGCTCATCTTCGAACTCCATCAAGGCATTGACCTAATAAACACATACACCAAGTTTGAACATTCTAGCTCAATTAGGAAGAGAGTTATTGTGTCCCAAAAAGTGTGACGGACAGACAGACGGACGGACAGACAGACAGACAGACGGACGAACCCATTTTAATAGTCCCCTGCTTTCTTCGAAAGGCGGGGGACAATAAAGAAACAAACATATAAATTTCTTTAGTTCTCATTGCAGGTGTTTGGATAATGATAGTAAATAGTATATTGTTGTAATGCTTCTATGGACATGCTTTGGAATTACATAGGAATTCTCGATACAGAAATATGGGTCAGTAGCAGATTTAGAAGCTGTGAATATGGTGGGGGTGTGGTTTCAAATCTAGGGTGTCATTTACAATCCCACCCCGGTTTTATTCCAAGCTGACGTCATCAATTACTTGGTCTCGTGATATGTGACATATATAGAATACCGGTACTTACATGTTTTTCAAAAATATGATATCTCAGTTTGATGAGTGTGCAAGATATTTCACAGAAATTATGTTCCATTAGTATACTATTTTTACAGTATGATGTAGGCCTACATTACAAGAAACGTGGTTAACAGTAAGAGTAAGCACTAAAGTTAGCCTGCCTACAGTACATGATTGTGAAATTTCAGTCTTAGGACTCTTATCTACTTGCATTTACTTACCCCATTATCATTATCAGTGGTAGCAACATCCTCGACAGCAGCCTCTTCCGGTAAGTCTGTTAAGCATTTTCTCTTTGATCTAAAAAATTATTTTTATTAAATTACTCTCTGCAGGGGTTTTCTCTTGGTTCATATATTATACTAATTACTTTTATTTTATTTTATACATTACAAGTACCCGTATTAAAACAGTAAAATATTTTTGGCAAGTATCTAGTACTACTGCTGTACCTACATTCTCAATAGCATAGCAATTCATGTAAATGTAATAAAATAACTATTTTACTCATATGAGCCTTAATAAAAAATAATTTATAAATAAAATCTACCGTATGCGTATCGTACTAGGATCTCCGTATTCAAACAGTTTACCCACATTATGAGGGAAATAAGCCGGATCATTCTGTTTACTCCCGTCTCTGAAATGACAGGAACATATCCTGTCATTTTCAGAGGTAGGTAGTCTATCAGATCTCCTACAAAAAAAATACGATTTGATAATTAGTATTTTCACAGGTAGTGTTTGCAAATAAAGGGAAATAATTTGTTTCCGGTTATAAAAAAAGGTCATTCCCGTACATAAATAAACAAACTAAAAGTAGTAATAGCCTTGAAAAGGCCTATTAGATTAGCGAAGGCGAAGGAGTGTTGACATTTCCATTTATTAAGACTTATAAATATTAGTTAGATTACAATTATTATTGTTGATTATAAAAGTAACATACCTTGATAAACGACCCCACAACAATTTTTTACTTGGGGGAAACCGGAAGAAACTACAACTCTCCCTATCACTTCGGTGGCTACAACCATACACAAAACATAACACCATTTTGACATTGTGCCGTCTGCCTGTCACCGGAAGTAGATTACCGAAGAAATCGTCGCGAGACTTAGCGGCCCTATTATAACAATAAACTAGATATACTTAAACGTTAAGTAAACCAGGACTGCGGCCCTGCTTAATACCACAATTAAAGTTGTAAATCGGGGACTGCGGCCCCTACGATTTATTTATGAACAGCTGGTAGACGTGGGACTGTGGCCCCTACAATCTACGTATGAAATTTCTGGTAAATCCGGGACTGCGGCCCCTACGATTTATTTATGAACTGCTGGTAGACCCGGGACTGCGGCCCCTACAATCTACGTATGAAACTCTTGTAAATCCGGGACTGCGGCCCCTACGATTTACTTATGAAATGCTATTAGACCCAGGACTGCAGCCCCACATTTTTGAGAGATGGATAGAGAACAAGCTAACAAGAAAGTGATTTTTCCTACAATCAAGGGTCATAATTCAGGAAATTACAATTCGATATGCGCATATATCGAAAGGAACTGAGATCTTTGTCTTATAAACTTACATTTCAAGTTTCAACAAAATCGGATAAAAATTGTGACCTCTATAGGGTCCACAACCTTGATATACCATATTTTTACGCTATTTGAGAACGAACGGCGGCCATTTTGTCTGTCAATTTTGGGGCGATTTTCACAAAATTCAAACTCAACTGTCCTTAGGGTGGAACGGTAATATAATAATACGGTTTTTTAAATCGGATAAAAATTATGACCTCTAATGGGTCCACAAGCTAATAACATCATTTTTCGTACAATCAGGGGCCATAATTCAGGAAGTTACGGTCCGATATGGGCAAATATTGAAAGGAACCGAGATCTTTGGGTTATAAACTTATATTTCAAGTTTCAACAAAATCGGATAAAAATTGTGACCTCTATAGGGCCCACAACCTTGATATACCATATTTTTACGCTATTTGAGAATGAACAGCGGCCATTTTGTCTGTCAATTTTGGGCCGATTTTCATGAAATTCAAACTCAGTCGTCCTTAGGGTGTAACGGTGATATAATAATACGTTTTTTTAAATCGGATAAAAATTATGACCTCTATAGGGTCCACAAGCTAAAAACGCAATTTTTCGTACAATCAGGGGCCATAATTCAGGAAATTACGGTCCGATATGTGCGAATATCGAAGGGAACCGAGATCTTTGGGTTATAGACTTACATTTCAAGTTTCAACAAAATCGGATAAAAATTGTGACCTCTATAGGGTCCACAACCTTGATATACCATTTTCATACGCTATTTGAGAACGAACGGCGGCCATTTTGTCTGTCAATTTTGGGCCGATTTTCACGAAATTCGAATTCAGTAATCCCTAGGGTGTAACGGTGATATAATAATACGTTTTTTTAAATCAGGTAAAAATTATGACTTCTATAGGGTCCACAAGCTAAAAACGTGATTTTTCGTACAATCAGGGGTCATAAGTCAGGAAGTTATGATCGGATATGCACGAATATCGAAAGGAACCGAGATCTTTGGGTTATAAACTTACATTTTAAGTTTCAACAAAATCGGATAAAAATTGTGACCCCTATAGGGTCCACAACCTTGATATACCATATTCTTACGCTATTTGGGAACGAATGGCGGCCATTTTGTCTGTCAATTTTCGGCCGATTTTCACCAAATTCGAACTCAGTCATCCTTAGGGTGTAACAGTGATATAATAGAACGTTTTTTTAAATCGGATAAAAATTATGACTTCTATAGGGTCCACAAGCTAAAAACGTGATTTTTCGTACAATCAGGGGCCATAATTCAGGAAGTTACGGTCTGATATGCACGAATATCGAAAGGAGCCGAGATCTTTGGGTTATAAACTTACATTTCAAGTTTCAACAAAATCGGATAAAAATTGTGACCCCTATAGGGTCCACAACCTTGATATACCATATTCTTACGCTATTTGGGAACGAACGGCGGCCATTTTGTCTGTCAATTTTGGGTTGATTTTCACGAAATTCGAACTCAGTCATCCTTAGGGTGTAACGGTGATATAATAGAACGTTTTTTTAAATCGGATAAAAATTATGACTTCTATAGGGTCCACAAGCTAAAAACGTGATTTTTCGTACAATCAGGGACCATAATTCAGGAAGTTACCGTCCAATATGCGCAAATATTGAAAGGAACTGAGATCTTTGGGTTATAAACTTACATTTCAAGTTTCAACAAATTCAGATAAAAATTGTGACCTCTATAGGGTCCACAAGCTAAAAACGTGATTTTTCGTACAAACAGGGGCCAATATCGAAAGCAGCCGATATCTTTTGGGGATAAACCTATATTTCAAGTTTCGTCGAAATCGGATAAGAATTGTGACCTGTAGAGAACTGTGGACGGACGGATGTCCGGACGGACAGGGGCGACGGCATAATACGTCCACATGAAAATGTGGGCGTATAAAAAAGCAGTAATATATTTCGGTTGTAGAAAAATAATTTTTGCTGGATTTACTCTCTATATTCCCATGATATTCAAATTGAGCTCTGACTGCTGGGTATTTATAAATGACGACAGTACATTCACCTTCCGTACGATAGATTAAGGTCCATATTTTTATTTCATTAAATGCAACTTTATATGTATGGTACGCAATACGAAAGACGCATAAGAGAATTGTAGATCATAGCGAGCACACACGCCTATCTAAAGACCTGTCTTTAATTATACAAAGAAGTAAATATACACATACGGAAAATTTAGCTTGCTCGCTATATACCCGCGGATATTCTAATTGGGGTCTCGGTGCGGTATATTTTTATATATGACGATAGTGTATTCACCTTTCATTAAAATGCATATGTGGCAGTATAAAATGCGTATGTGTCTTATACAAATACAAAAGACAGATGAAAGAAACGTAAATTATATAGCGAGCTCACATCCATAAGACCGGTTACTCCTTTTGGTGCAGATACTGTAACTAGCGAGATAACACGGCAATTAAACAATACACACCATTGACATTCATTTCTTACCGGTCGGTTAATTAACGCACCGCCGCACAGTTTTTCACCCCTAGCGTTAATTAACTCACCTCTCAGACAGTTTCTCATCCTTGTTAATTAACGCACCTTGTTTACAATTTTAATGCGGTAATGCCGATTAATAGTCAGGAAATTAATTTTCTTTCCATAGACGTACAAATAACAACCCAGACATAGATTTCTATAAGGTCCGTGCACAGATTTAACCCCTTAGTAGTTCTCAGTGAAACTATACACCAGTTTCATCACTTTAACTTGACTAGAAGAATCGAAATTACTCTGTGCCAAAGCATCGACCAATGAAATTGCATATCTCTGCTTTTAGCCTGAGAAGAAAATGCTTATCATCAAACTCAATCAAGACATTCACCTAATAAACGCCAAAATAAACAGGCAGAAAAGAAATCCATGGCCAGTTGGAATTATTTTTTCAAATTCTCACCCATAGCAAATCCATCATCTGTAAAAGCTGCTCCTACTTTGTTCTTCCTACTCATCTTTTCTTTACAACTAATAGAATGTTCTACATAGTTTAATGTCTGTAAATACAATAATTATATACTCTTCAAAAAAAGTAGGGGATATTGAAATGCAAATACCTATGCAGGTTGTGATATGATAAATAGTCATGGACACTTGACATGCTTTGAGAGTATGTTCACAGATGAAGAACTTATCTCCCTAACAGAACCACTGAGCTGCACATGCGACACGCAATAGCGCCATACACGTGGGAAGGGTTCGTTGTCAAATTTGACACTTCAAGGAAGGGTTGATGAAAACTGCCGCTTGCTGGTTTATCTATCCATGTTTCCTTTCCTATCGGTTCTTGCATAAGATTTACTGTTTAGCGTATCTTTGCTTTAGTGTGTTACGTTTAATTTGATCGGGAGACGTGTTCGTTGACGTTGACGACAATGTCGACCGACAACACTGCAAGAATTGGCCGTGGCACTGCAAGAGGAGTGGGTGAGATTGCCCCAAATCGTGATTGGACGGTTGATTAGGAGCATGCCACAACACATTGCTGAATGTCTGAGGATTGGTGGAGCAATTACTCATTATTAAGACAAAAATCAACTAGCGGCTGCCAGACAGGATACGCCCACATTTTCGAGAGATGGATAGAGAACAAGCTAAAAAGAAAGTGATTTTTCCTACAATCAAGGGCCATAATTCAGGAAATTACAATTCGATATGCGCGAATATCGAAAGGAACCACGATCTTTGGGTTATAAACTTACAACAAAATTGGATAAAAATTGTGACCTCTATAGGGTCCACAACCTTGATATACCATATTTTTACGCTATTTGCGAACGAAGGGCGGCCATTTTGTCTGTCAGTTTTTGGCCGATATCACGAAATTCGAACTCAGCCATCCTTAGGGTGTAATGGTGATATAATAATATGTTTTTTTAAATCGGATAAAAATTATGATCTCTATAGGGTCCACAAGCTAAAAACGCGATTTTTCGTACAATCAGGGGCCATAATTCAGGAAGTTACATACCAATATGTGCGAATATCAAAAGGAACCGAGATCTTTGGGTTATAAGCATACATTTCAAGTTTAAACTAAATCGGATAAAAATTGTTACCTCTACAGTGTTCATAAGCTAAAAACGTGATTTTTCATACAATCAGGGGCCATAATCCATTAAGTTACAGTCCGATACATGCCAATATCGAAAGGAGCCGAGATCTTAGGGTGATAAACCTATATTTCAAGTTTCATTGAAATCGGATAAAAATTGTGACCTGTAGACTGTTCACAAACAACTGTGGACAGACGGACAGACGGATAGGGGCGACGACAATATACGTCCACATGAAAATGTGGCCATATAAAAACGTCCATTTTCACTTTTGACGGCGTTTCTCTTTGCGAGTGAAATGGTGCCATCAGATAAGTCGCCCATATGAACTGTTTATGTTCATGTGTAGGCAATTGGCCTGGTATTAACATACACTGGTTACCTCAAATAAAACCAGCAATGCATTTCTGCAGTTTTGTATTGTTTCTGAATATCCCCTACTTTTTTTGAAGAGTATTTATATAGACAACTATAGTACACTTCTTTTGGACAACCTAATTTATTTCTTATTTCTTCCTTTAACATCATGTTCCCATCAACCACTACCTGCAGTCAGCATTACTACAAAAATGGCTAGACTGTATATTGAATTGATGACTTTGGCAACACAAATGAGTGAAATTAAATATCCAATATCAGTGTATTTAGAAAATAATAACAAAAAAATATATAGAAAATTACCAGTGGTGGTAAAATAACAAAGAAGTTACGAAGATGCATATTCTTAGGATTTCTGAATTCTGGTGAGAACACATCAACCAAAATCTATAATAACAATCAGATATAATTAATACATGTAGTGCTGTATTATATTTCATATCTATTATCTAATGTCTATATGTACAATCTAGTCTTTTCCCAAATAATGATAATTACTGTTTACTCGTTTTCTCTTCTTTTTTTCTTTTTTTTTTTTTTAAAAAAACCCAACAAAACAACTCTTAATCAAAAGTACATATATAAAATCTTAAAATTAAATAAATATTCCTTTTGTACACCACACATTTTCTGGTAATAGAAAGTATCAAAACATTACCTTAAAATAATCTGTTCCTTCAGCAAAGTTTTTAACCAAATTGTTTATAACATTGTCTAGATTTCTGTAATATAAATTAGTAATATACATTGTAGTCTAAATGTTCTGTAACTTTAACATCTGTCTCTTAAAAAATAGAAGTAGAATATATAGTTTAAGATAGTAATATTATTGTAGCATGTAAAATCTATAGTAAAGCCATATCAGAAAATCGTGTAATGTATTCCTCTCATCTGTTGACCTAGTTTTTTGGTAATTTTTGTCATAAAGTGGTCTACAGAGTAACATTTCAATGAGTTTTAGCTGTATTTATGAAAGAGGCAGC